CTCTAAAAGCAAAACTCAGCACATGATAATTCAGGTTTAATGGCAAAGGCCGACGGGACAGCACAGGTAATTGGGCCAACACAGGTAATCGGGTCAACACAGGTACTCGGGTCAACACAGGTAATGGGATCAATACAGGTTATCGAGTCAACACAGGTAATCGGGTCAACACAGGTAATTGGGCCAACACAGGTAATCGGGTCAAAACAAGTACTCGGACCAACACAGGTAATAGTATCAATACAGGTTATCGAGTCAACACATGTAATCGGGCCAACACAGGTATTCGGGCCAACACAGGTAATCAGGTCAACACAAGTACTCGGGCCAGTACAGGTAATAGGATCAATACAGGTTATCGAGTCAAAACAGGTAATTTGGTCAACACAGATAATTGGGCCAACACAGTTAATCGGGCCTGTACAGGTAATCGGGCCAACACTGGTAGTGGAAGCAACGAAGGAAAATAGTAGCATCCACCTCTATAAATTGAGAAAGGGACTTCAAGTGAATCAGTCTAGTTCTAAACTCCAGACATCGCCTGAATAATAATAATAATGTTTATTCAGATTCAAATCACAAAAAGAAATAACTAAAGTAATACATACAGTTGAATAAACATTGTAGAAACCACAGAAGCATCAGATGTTGCTTGTATGTGATGAAAAGGAGATCCAAAGAAAAAAAATTAATATATGATAAATATTAAAGTATGAGAATGAACGGATATGACTTTCCACAAGCGAGTAGTATAAGTCCTCAATTTATAGATGGTATATTTGATATGGAGGTCCCATTTCAAATTGGTGTCTAGAATAATTCCTAAGTATTCCATTTGCTTTTCAGGAAAAATGTACAAAGGTGGATCATTTTTCATTATTAATTGATCGAACGGGGCTGACACAGCTGCATAACAACAGAATTGTAGTTTTGTCAATATTCACCGTCAGTGAAGATGACAAATAAGACTTTGCTGAAAAGTTGTGAAAGTAATCCTTATGAGGATCAAATACACAAAACACGAAGCGAAAATAGCTCATCAAACTTTTTCCGCGAGAATCTTCGAGTATTATTCCAGATATACATCCGTTCGTTTTTGAGACTTTCACGACGTTTCGTCAAGATTGCACTTATCATATTTATGTGCTCAGCTACGCTTCGGTTTCTTCGAATAAACCGTGTTCACAATTTCAAATCAGTCACTTGCTGTTCATTTTGTATCATTTGAGCAATTATGTGAAGTGGTTTCCTCTGAATCCATTGAGAATGTAGTGATTGTCGTGAAACGCAAATAGAAGAATCTGGACGCAGACGTCGACGTTCTCAAGTGGAATTATTTTCCTCAGTACGTAAAAGCATCTCATCTTTTTTGTTACTTTCGGCGTTTTGAAGAATACATTTCCATACGAAATCACAGAGGTGTGACCTATTTTTCAGCAAGCGAAATTCGAGACTCACGTAAGATTCCAACAATTGAAATTGACTCTCCGATATATGGAAACGTAAATTTCAAGTATCTGATAATGCACGACTGAGAATACTGTTACTATATATGCATACATTCTGTAGATTTTGTATCTACATACCGATTGAGAAAGAAATATGCCTCAAAGTGAATGAAACGAGGTATACTCGTGGGATCCAGTGAAATATGAATGAATATTTTGATTTTTCAACAGTCTCCACTCTAGCATTTTTGAAATATTCCACAAGACGATACCCAGGAGGAAAATCAGAACAAGTGAAATGTTTTGGGAAATCCTTTATCGAAGGCAGTATAAATATGAATTTTGCTTCAAACGAATAATATTTTTCAAATCCTCAAAATGTTCCTTGTTAGTTTATAGAAACTAAAACACCGACAGAAAATGGAAATCAGAAATATCCCTAATCTGTAGATTGATGTGTCGTTCTTGCTTTTATTATTGTATAGGTTGAATGGATGACATATTCAGAAAACTCTTCGAAACGAACATTTGATTAAAGTACAAAAATAGTTGGGATTCCAAGTTTCGCGACCTGCTAATACAGTTTGGAGTGATTTTTACTACAAAAAATTCTATATACTAGGTTTATTCACCTGAAAAAAGCAAAAACATCCTTCATTTACCAGTGAAAGCATATAAAAACGAGTCCATCTAATATGTTTCGATAAATACAACACAAAAAAGATGCTCATTTGAAGTCAACTTTCCTATATGTCACATAATTTTATTCATAGATAAAGTGGTCTGCAGAGCAAAGTATATCTATATTTACATTGTCTTGGTGCCTAGGATTGTTTGGTTTCTGCTACTTCTTATTATAGTCGGTTATCATAAAAGTTATGAAGCAATAAGCTGACACCAAACGTGTGTATTTTGTGCCCGGCGCATCCGCCAAAAGCTATAAAATACCGCTGCTGTCGGTGCTATTTTGTGCCAGGGCATTCGCCAAAAATTTAAAATGAACGGCTAATATCCAAACAGTATAGGTATGGAAATTTATTCAAACACGTAGAATAACATTCATTACTCATATTCATTCTCATTTTCCCTGGGATCAAAACATGTTTTTGGGCAACATTGTATTGAAGAAAATAAAATTGAACTCACTGAGAAGGACCCAGAAACAAACTATGTTTATTTGAACCGGTGAAAGTCTGTGACAGCTGTCTACCCTCAAGCTTTCCATCGCTCTCTTGCATTGAGAGAAATAAAATAGCAATTGAATTAGATGAATATACAGGTCAATTATGTACAAATTCAACTGGAGTGAAAATCTCTGTGAGAAAAACATTTCGAAACAATTTGATGCAATTTGAATTTCAACAAATACAAATGCCGTTGTGTTCAACGGCGATTATATTTCATTGTGGATTAATTAATACTACAAAGTCAATTTTGAAAATCCTGTTCGATTCGCTGAGTAAAACAATCGGAAAAACTGGTCCAGCGTGGCTATATTGAATTGTTATTTGTTTGAGTGAAAATGAATATAAAGTATGAACAGAATTGAAAACTTGTTCAAAATGTTTCTCGAACAGTTTTGCTATTTCTGAAGTGGGTTTGAGTGGAAAAGTGAAAATAATAGGATGAATGAATATTTATTTATTTCGTTGATGAAATATTAATTGTAGTTCAACTCAGAGTAGGAATGTTTTGTCGATAATGTTCTTTTATTTTACTGAATCGAAAAAAAAAACAATATTGTTACATTGGAAATAAATTTTAGCGGTTACGTTTTCCACCCCTTACAACCATGTGGTAAACGAAATATTACTGGATAAGTTACTCTCTGGTAGTACACAACGTCAGGTTAATTTCAATACTGTAACTTTTTCAGTGCTTATGAAAAAAATTGTTATACAAATTTTATGTACCCCCTTTAAAGGGCTGTATCTTAACAAGATTCTCGAACAGTTTTGCTATTTCTGAAGTGGGTTTGAGTGGAAAAGTGAAAATAATAGGATGAATGAATATTTATTTATTTCGTTGATGAAATATTGAATTGTAGTTCAACTCAGAGTAGGAATGTTTTGTCGATAATGTTCTTTTATTTTACTGAATCGAAAAAAAAAACAATATTGTTACATTGGAAATAAATTTTAGCGGTTGCGTTTTCCACCCCTTACAACCATGTGGAAACCAAATATATTACTGGATAAGTTACTCTTTGGTAGTACAAAACGTCAGGTTAATTTCAATACTGTAACTTTTTCAGTGCTTATGAAAAAAATTGTTATACAAATTCTATGTACCACCTTTAAAGGGCTGTATCTTAACAAGTGATGCTCCAATGAAGTTTCTTTATATGAAAGATCCTATCTTTTTTTCGATGAGAAATCACCTCCTTGAATGTTTTACATTTATTCAGTTACACCCTGTATAGAAGTGTCCATTTTGTCCCACTCTGTACCACAAATGATAAATTCAATGAAACAGGCAAGAAAATGAGAACTCTTTGTGTGTTCTACCTCTTGAGAATTCAATTGGCCCATATTCAGGAGCTGCAGGAATGTCAACCAGTGAATCTTCACTTAAAATAGATGAAATTATGAATCTGAAGCTTGCAAAGTAATCATGTTTTTCTTGACACTTTGAAGAATATGATACGTCACATTCACATCACCACAGAAAACTGTTGCTTCATGGTTGTCGTATTTATCGAACATTGTACGGGCATCGAATGCATTCTGTAACGAATCTCAAGACCAGATCGAAGTTTGGATGACCTCAAATATGCAAGAACGGACGATTATATAGAAATGTATTGAGAACGGACCACAAAGGAATGCAATCAAAATGCCTTATCTGCAAAGATGAGGAATGCTATATTCCATCCAGTGGTTTGACAATAAATACAGAATTCTGCCTAAATCGATAAACTTGAGAGATGAACATTCTAGAGTTGAATAGGATTGCGACCGTTGAAAATGATTTCGATGGTCAAGTTGGCGGAAATTCGGTCGAAATGTTGAAGAAAACCAATTGCTGAGTTGTCCACGTTTCGAAATTTTATTGTTCCGCTTTCAGGACTCTGAAGTATAAGAACAAGACATACATATTGAAATAGGATTCTAGAATGTAGTTTTGTTATAAACAAAATAAATTATGTGAAGTAACAATCGTTTAAAAACGTCGTTAAAAAACGTTGATGGGTACTGACATTTAGGGCGGCTTTTCAAGTTCAAAAAGGGTGAAGTGAATAAATTGTACATGAAATATAAATACATAAACTTCACCCTTCACCCTTTTTGAACTCGGGAAACCTCCCCAGATGTGAGCTCTCATCAACGTTGTTTTCTGTAGAGTATTCAAAGCGTTTTATTATTTTTTCCGATTGTTATCTCAAATAACTTATTTTGTTCTAAAAAAATTACAATTTGGAATCCCATTTCAACATGTATGTCTTGTTCTTATACTTCAGGGGCCTGAAGATGAAACAATGAATTTGGGCTAACCCTTTTTCTTTAATTTTTCATGCATAATAAACGATATTATTATAAATGAGCTATCGAATAATTCATTAAGTTTTTAATTCGACCCAAACTATACAGTTGACAATCTGGATTGAACAAATTTACATTTTTCCAACGCCACATGTCTTGAATAATATTTGCGATTCATGAGTTGTACCCTCACTGAGCGTCGGGTACTGTACAAAGATCTCCTCCCTCTTGAGTTAACATGTCACTCACGCCAATTCTATTTGCACAGTGATTGAATCTCGAGGCATACACACTTCCAAACATTGGTCGTTCACATTTTCTTCCGAATAAATGGATGGCAGCAAGATCTTTGCAGTTGAAACTTCCATCACAGTTACAATCCTGAAAGACAAATGAAGATTAGGTTCACTCGCAAAATATGTATTTCTCAGCTTTTAGTAATGCTATTTTTCATCAGTTAGAAACATTAACTCAAATACACCTCTAGCACAAGCGGCTGGTTCAATTGCAACAGCAGCCATAGAAAAAGCAAATCTACTAGTTGAACAATTTGCGTTCCACTCCACAGTCGATTTTATGGGAAAGACACCACCCACTATTCCTACACCAACATCCACAATGCCGGAAATTACGTCTAGTCAGGCGATTTTTAAAACAGCTCCATATCAACAAGGGTTAAGGTCCTGATGAAGCGCCCGTCATCGTAGTTAAAAAGTTTTCAAATGATCTCGCACTCGCTGTATTTTGCAGACTTTTCTACCTGTCTCACAAGAAAGGAAGTTTCCTTCTTGTTGGAAAATTGCTCGCGTTCTGCCCAAAAAAGGCAAAAAAAAATCCCAAACAACTACAGACCAGCCGCTTTGCTATCAGTAATATCAAAAACTATAGAGAAAGCCGTATACCATCAAATCCTAAAATATTTCAAAGACATATTGAGCGATCATCAATATGGCTTTGAGAAACAAAGATCAACAGGCGACCTTCTATCTTATATCACCCATATTTGGAATAACGCAACCGAGAAACATGGAGAATCAAGAGCCGCTGCGCTTGATATTTCAAAGACCTTTGACCGTGTGTGGCATAAGGGTTCGCTGGCCAAACTTCGATGCTATGGCTTGTTGGATCATTTTTGTGTATAGCTCTTCAGCTTCCTGAAAAATCTCTCCCTGCAAGTGACCGTCGATAGATATCTCTTGTATACTTTTATCGTCGACGCTGGTGTTCCCCAGAGAGCCATTTTATCTCCAACCTTCTTTTTATTGTAATGAGTGGTATTTTTTTGCTTGTATCTTTTTGGCAACACTGTTTTTGACAGATCACGCGTGAATCGTGTCTTGTGTCATTGTCAAACTTGTTCAGTTTGGTCTATAATTTTACCATGAATCGACTTACGAATGAACAACGCCTGCAAATTATTGAATTTTATTATCAAAATTCATGCTCGGTGAAGAAAGTGCATCGTGCACTTCTTCAAATTTGTGGGCAGTTTCGTCTGCCTGCTAAGGGAGCTACTCAGAAGCTTGTGACTGAATTCCCAACCCAGTTTACATTATTGGACATTAAACCACCAACACGCATACGTAGAGTGAGGACCGAAGGAAATATTGCGGCTGTATCCGCCAATGTTCGTGATGACCGTGAAATGTCGATTCGCCGCCGTTCGCAGCAATTGGGCCTCTGTCACTCCACTATGTAGAAAATTTTGCGAAAGGATTTTGGTGTAAAACCTTATAAGATACAGCTGGTGCAAGAATTGAAGCCACACGACCTCTCATAATGTCTAACATTTGGTGAATGGGCCCTGGCAAAGTTGGAGGAAGATCCGCATTTTTATCGGAAAATTGTGTTCAGCGACGAGGCTCATTGAATGGATACGTTAACAAGCAAAATTGCCGCATATAGAGTGAAGACCAGCCACAAGCATTGCAGGAGCTACCGATGCATTCCGAAAAAGCCACCGTACTTCTACAGTGGCCGAAACGTTACTGTGAATGGCGCTAGCCATTCACAGTAACCCAAAATGGAAGAAGTGGACATGCCTGACATGTCGTTTCAACAAGACGGCGCCACATGCCACACGGTACGCGAAACAATGGCCCAATGAAAAGCCGCCTTCGGTGAACAGTTTATTTCACGTTTGGGACCCGTCGATTGGCCGCCTAGATCGTGTGATTTAACGCCCTTGGATTATTTCTTGTGGGGTCATGTTAAGGCTCATGTCTACAGGGATGAACCAGCAATGATTGACCCTCTGGAAGACAATATTGAAGCATTTATACGTGAAATACCGGTCGATATGTTAGAGAGAGTGTGCCAACATTGGACCTTGCGCATGGGCCATCTAAAGCGGATCCACGGACAACATTTGCATGGAATAATCTCCAAACATTAGATTATATTGATCGTTCTATCGATTTCAAAAAAAATTCAACAATTTTTTCAAAATTTTTTGTGTTGTTTTGAAAATCAAATCCTATACCTCTCAAGAAATCACCCATTATATTAAGGACTTATTGGAAAGAACCAAAAATCCAATATATTGCTTTGCTGATGACAGCACACTTGTCTCATCAATCGATTTGGATTCCAGATCATCGGTTGGGAATGCACATCTTCACCGACAGCAAGAGGTTGCATCTTAATGAGGATCTGGAGGTGATTTTGGATTGGGGTGGAAGTAACGGTCAATTGAATGCCACGAAGACCCAGGCTTCGGTTTTCTCCAGAAAGATCAACGTCTCCGAACCGAATATAATAATGTAAGGACAGACAATTCAGCTTCCTGCTGCGATAAGTTTGTTGGTGGTCAAAATGGACACCAATATGTCTTGGTCCAATCATGTTACCGGAATTGCAAAAGCTGCTCCTCCAAAGCTTGCAACACTGTTCCGCACCTGAAAACTGTATACACCTCAGCAACTTCTGATGATTCATAAAGCTCAGAACAGACCTTCTTTGTTCTCATGTATGGAGCTCTGCCCCTAAGCATACCCTGAAGCTGCTGGATTCCATCTAGGAAAGAGTCATCCACCTGATTGGAGACTTGAATAACACTTGCAACTCTAATGGTCTGGAACATCCAAGAAAGATTGGAGACTTGTCTCCCTTCTATAGATACTTTCACGAGAGGTGTCAAGTGACTTGGCACATTTGATTCCACCAAGAGAGGTACATATCCGAAATACGCGACGGACTGTGGCTGTCCATCGTTTCGAAGTTCAACTCAGTACACTTTGAAATTAATTGTTTGAGACTTCTCATTTGGAGAACGGCGTTTATGTGGAATAAACTTCCTGAGAACGTTTTTCCAAATGAATTCAATCTCCAGCGCACAGGCACCGCTCTTAGAGCGCCATGGGGATTTTCCGGTAGTGCTTGTATTTTTGTTTTTTAAATGCCATCATAGAGTCTTGAGAGACCCACTATATTCACGCTCACCATTTCCCCCCAAGACTTCGTGTATTCGATGATGGTTCCAACGATGCAGTTTTCATCTCTCATACACTTGTCGTAACCTCCATCGCTGAGTTGGGAATCGCTTGGAGAGACCACGAGGGATCCTGCCCTTGTCCAGTAGTCCCGGCTTATCGAATACATTGCGCAGTTGCGACGTCTCCAGCAGCCTGTTCTCGCATGGCACAGGCACTGGACGCAGGGATACAAACTGTCTTTGGTGTAGTCCCTGATATCTGAAAATTTTCACAAATCAGTTTTTTCTATCATCGTACAAGAAAGTAAATTACTTTTTACACTATTTCGCAAACAAAATTGACCTATGCTATTCTGTTGTCCGCTTGTAGACATGAATAATGCCATCGCCTTCCGCTGACCTGGCTCGAGAGCCTTACAGCTAGGCATCTTCCCTCTATCTAACGCCACCACTGTTAATGAAACCCCTACCCCTCCGAACTCACCCCCCCTTCATGCAGTCGACGCATAACGCCGGCCACACGAAGGGACGAAACCAGCGGGGGTAGAAGAATCGCATGGCACAGGCACTGGACGCAGGGATACAAACTGTCTTTGGTGTAGTCCCTGATATCTGAAAATTTTCACAAATCAGTTTTTTCTATCATCATATAAGAAAGTAAATTACTGTTTACACTATTTCGCAAACAAAATTGATCTATGCTATTCTGTTGTCCGCTTGTGGACATGAATAATGCCATCGCCTTCCGCTGACCTGGCTCGAGAGCCTTACAGCTAGGCATCTTCCCTCTATCTAACGCCACAACTGTCAATGAAACCCCTACTCCTCCGAACTCACCCCCCCTTCATGCAGTCGACGCAAAACGCCGGCCACACGAAGGGACGAAACCAGCAGGGGTAGAAGACCCATTTATATTTATTGCTCATAAATATTATTACATTCAAATTAATAGAAAATTAAAATTTACATTCATTTATATACTAACTATTATCTAAATAATCATTAAGTTATAATTGCAATCCCTAACAATGACAATACATTACACACAATACATTATGTTATCTGGCGTTCCAAATTAATACATAAGTTGGGGTTCACTCGCCAAGCCAGTAAGAGGACCGGGGCGCGTATTGTTCGTCACCTTTCCTCTCAGGTTTGTATTCCCTTTCATCCCTCACCACAATCTCCGCCCATTCATTCGCCACCCGAATCCATTCCCTATTTTTTCCTCTGCATTCCTCCATTTTCTCGCTCAAGTCGTTCCTTCTATTCACACCATCCGATTTTCTCTCCCTCCATACACCTCTCTAGCACATGCTCTGCCGTTTCGGGCTCCCCCCCAGCCACAGGGGCATGGTACCTCAGGTACCGGATCAGATAAGATATCTTACAGAATGACCCAAATCCGTATACTTTACCCAACTCCAATTCCAACACATTTAGTCAACAAATGTACAAAGTCTTCATCAATCTATAAGTTTCCCCGTATTTTAGTAATTCATTTGAAAAGATTCTCTCCAACGGAAAGAATCAGAGGCAACTTGAATGTTTCCATTGACTTTTCTTCAGATGGACTAGATATGAGCAGTTATGCAGCAGACAATGTGGCTCCTTGTCGTTTTAATCTATATACCCTTTCAAATCACAGTGGGACTACTTACAAGAGACATTACACAGCATATTGCAGGCACCCATATAGTGGCACGTGGCATGAATACAACGATTCACACGTGTTCCCAATTTCGCCAAAATCACTTATGAGCGACGAGGCATATGTCCTCTTTTATGAACAGAAGGGAACAAAGCAGCCACTCTGATATGCTTTTTTCTTCTTTACTTTTTCTTATAATCTTAGTTCTTTGAATTGACTTGTATTTCGTGATTGTTCCAAATTTCATTATTTATTGTAATAATCCTTAAATAAATGAAATTGTCAACAAATACCTAGAAACTAGTATCTTCTCGGAACTATGGAAACAATCTATTATTTTTTCTATAAACAATGACACCAAATGATTTGAGGCCCATAAATATAGTACTGGCAATTTCAAAAATTGTGAAAAAAGCAGCCTATAGTCAGATATACTCTTATGTCTCTGATAATAACATCATACCTGAACACTAATCTGGTTTTCGGAAAAATCACAGTACATCTGGTGCTCTGTTGAAAATGACTGACGATATGTTTTTAGCCACCGATAATGGAGAGATCACTCTCGTCTCTCGATTACAGTAAGGCTTTCGACACCATGAATCATAGTCTGATGTGCGCTAAACTTGTTTCTTTTTGGTTTCAGTAATGAGGAATGTGACTTTTTCGAGTTCAGTTTTGAAAAAATAGAAAGCAACGTGTTGTGATAAAGGGTAGTCAGTCTGATAATATGAGTGCACGTCATGGAGCCCCGCAAGGTTCAATTATCGCCCCGCTACTCTTTACTATCGACACATCTGACTTCTTCAATGTTCTTGAGTTATTCAAAATTCATACATATGCAGACGACAGACGCATATGTATGAATGAGTGCACGTCATGGAGCTCCGCAAGGTTCAAATCTCTTTATCGCAGTAGTACTAACTTGTACTACTGCGATAAAGTATATCAGCTTATTGATCACGAAACATCGCTCAATAATGATAAAAAAAATGTTGTTCAGATTTCGTAGCAAAACTGTCTAAATCCTGATCCTAGCAAATCATCTTTAATAATTTTTGGAAAAGCCAAAGATCTTGAAAGGACCATAGATAATATCGATTTGCATATTGATGGACATTTAATGGAATTGACAAACAAAACGAAATGCTTAGGACTTCATATAGACCACAACCTCAGATTTGTTCATCAAGTTAGTACTCTCAATCAAAGGTCGTACGGTACACTGAAACATCTGTATTCAAACAGACACTACCTCAGTAGGTCTCTCAGAATTACCCTTTCAGACGTAATGATTCTATCGATGTTCAATTATTGCGATGTCGTCTATGGCCCTTGTATCGATTCCATAGCTTCTGCAAGATTTCTGAAAGTACAGAACGCCTGCATTAGACTAATATTCAGCCTGAATTACAGATGTGGCCTCTTCAATCAATCAATTGAATTGGTTCAAAATGCTAACATTCTGTTTCATTCACAAACTGATAAAAAACAACAACCCACTTATTTGATGAAAAAGCTTCTTTCCAGACAAAAGATACATTCAAGAAACCTTAGATTTGATAATAATGTTTAATTCATTCAGTGTATCTTTGAAAAATTCATCGATACCGCTATTCAAAAGTAAACTTAAAACTGAATTGCTCAGTCAACACTGTTCCAAACATAAACATTTGTATTTCATTTTACTCTTGTCTTAAAAGTGCCATTTATTTTTTGTGATGTTTCTTTGCTAAACTTTGCCACTTGAATTAAATACCATTTATTATTATTATTAGATACAGTATTTGACATTGCAGGAGTATGCCGCAGAGACGAGTTACAGAAACTATCATAACATTGGACGATATTGATGACATGGATTCCATCATAACTGTAAAAATACCCAATAACACGACAAACAAATATGATCTTTTGCAATAGCAAGAAAAATTGGAAATTTCAATTTCGTTGAAAGATATCGCAGATATGTATCTCTTCTTCGTTCTGTCTACCAGTCACGGTAGACATTTTATAAGATATAATGATAATAAATCTCCAACTGAATCTATTGATCTGAATATTTTCAGTGCAATCCCAAATGATATTTCGAAATATTCAAATATTGAAAACCTAATGCAATATACAGAACACCGTTTTCACAGATCTTCTGCAACATTGTTTGCAGAATCGGGGGCAGACATACCAACAATGAAACGACATGGAGGATGGAAATCTACATTTGTAGCTGAAGGCTACATTGGAGAATCAATTTCTAAAATGACTGAACACCAAGTACTAGTGCTCTGAAAACTTGACTACAGTTCAGCTAGCTTCATCAACAGTGTTTTTTGGATGATAGAGCATATCTTGATTGTTTGATTGATATTCAGATTGGACTCCACAGATTTTTTATTGCATTAAGGCATCATTGGAGTATTCTTTGAATATAATGGCAGCTATAATTTCAACTATACTCATAAATACAAATTATATTTAGAAAACAGGTTATGTTAGGTCAGGAGATGATAACGACGCACTATAGTATAAGCTCAATATATGATTGTATGGATTTTGATATCTACCGAATTATTCAAGTTTTTCAAGCTAGAAACTGAAACTCAAATCGTTATTTGTCCTGATCTTCTTACCTGCCTGAAGAGATATCGCGATACAAACGAAACAAAACAAGAAGATAACCTTCAACATCTTGAACTGCGTTAGTTTGAAGTTTTGGACTGGTGTGAACTCAAGTCAACAACGTTTTATAAGCACTCTGGAATCAGTTGGGTAAACCCAAATCCAACAGGTCAACAGAAAGTTCATCTTATCGACGATAATTTATTTACTGAACTCTCTGAACCGATAACACCATTGAAATTGTGAACAAAGTTGCGATACTCAGGTCGATAATGTCCAACTGCAACTGCATTTTTCAGATTTTTCTCAATCAAATAATATGAGTAGGAAAGGGGAGACCCACTCACTTTAGATCTAACCTAACATATATCATAATATTGAGACGAAATATGAATCTCGATTTTCATCTTCAGACGTGAGAAATATGAGGAATTCTGTTATGGAAAAACATCATGTAGTGGAGCAAATGAATGTATTCTGATTTTTCAAGCCTTAAGAGTTCAGACTTCAGAAATTATGGAAATTATAATTATTGGACAGCCTCTGAAAGGGTTTTTGTATGTGGGGAAGTAATATTGACTGATCCAGATTGTCATTTTCTGTTGGACCAGTGGTTCATAATAGAAATCACTAACAGAAGGTATTTTTCAAATAAATATGAAGTAAAGGAACAATCATTATGGTGTATTCTCTTGAAAGGAACCACTGTCGCATAAAATGTCGATATATTTTCAAATTTAATGGCTACTCGCAAAAATACATACCTATAATTGAGTCAGCAAACCTGCAGCAATGTTTCATATCTCTCCTTTTGAACTAATTAATATTTCTCTTATGAATTAATGAATTGTATGAAACACCCCTTTTCTAAAACAACCAACTCTGCTGTTCACTTCGTACCATGCTTTATTTCCCTTCGGGAAACTTTTTCTTTCAACAAGATCTTTCTCAGAGTTGTTACTCGTCTCTTTGAAGTCTCTATTCCACAATCCTGGAACGGAATTGAAATACATATTACTCTCTAATTACTGTGTTGTGGCACGACAAAATACAGTTCACCACCAATTAAACTTCCGCTTGCGACGCCGAATCACGAAACAGGATCGGTTTGAAATTCTTTTTGATGAAATAACGCTGATATTTTTCCTTGTCGACCTAATTTGTAAATACACAACTCCACATGAGTTTTGATATCAGGAGCGTGCTAACGGAATTGAGACCAAATCTCCAGAAGCACTTCTGGATTTCCACGAGATGCTCAGGAAAGGAATCGCCAATGGAAATATTCCTGAAGGAAATGTCAGTGTAGTACAAGATCACTTTCAATGAAGGGTCATATCCCATCACACTTGTGGTGAACAAGTTAATAAGTTTTGTGAACCACAAGTGATATTATCTGCGAGCTGCAGATACATATGTCATCGAAGGGCAAATATAGTGAGGAACTCATGACAGGAGAGCGTAACATCATCTCGGCCGAATCGACCGCCATACCAATCCTCAAAAGAATCAAGATAAAGACCCCTGTTCATAATATAGGGTCTTCCATCATGCGCTTACTCTCATTGAATTTGGAAAAAATGAAGTTTGTAAGATGTCATCCGACATCTGCAAAGGTTGTTGAGGGCCATATCCGTCTACGGTGATTTGGCAAAACAGACTGAATGAATGACAACTAATTTGACATCACTTGTCAAAGTTAGTTTGAAAGTCGCTACTGGGAGACCTTACATTTGTGTAACTAGTTTTCATTTCGATTGAAGCTTTTTTCACGCTCTTTATAGGCCCTTCTCCTGAATTTGATAACTACTCAAGAAAGTATCAATCATCTGCTTCAAATTTCGAATCTCTTCTCCTCCCAGAAGCCAACAGAAATCGATTCAAAGCGATGCACTTACTTTAATGGGGACGAACAACAACTACACCATCATCTGCGATTCATAGCGTCCGGGGAATAAGCAAACCGTCCACTCTCATCGAGAAACGCGCTAGTCTCTTTGAAACATTATTCATCCTGATGTTCGTTCCAATGGAAAAGCGGAAAGCATATTTTGGATATATTGCTACAGATACATGACTTTTCCTGGGGGGCGTTTTAATCTTCAACAAATAGAGATGGGAATTCAAGCAATGTTGTTGAAATTAGCGCTTATCCCGGCCAGTTGCTGCCTCTGGATTATTTTGCGTGAACAACAAATGATTGTTAGGAATGGTTGATGAAGATGTGTGGTAATTTTGATTTTATATACGGAATGTTCCTCAAATATGTCGCCACAATTATTTACTGACAATTGGGCACGACACAAGCGTTCATTCATTCAGAACGTTTCGGGGACGTTTGATACCATCTTCAGACCTACAGTAGAAGTGAATGTGCGTTTGTATACTCTGTAGCAAAACACGGACATTTTTCCTTCGAATTATTTAAATTTACTCCGTTAATATACAGGGCTATTCAAATTCGTTTCTATAGATGGGGATCTTGTAAACGATAAGAGATAGAGTGTCGGTTGAATTATGGCAAAGTTGCGTATTTTAGAGACCTATTCAATGATGCAAAGAAATCGAATATAGCTCTTTCGGTTCTGGAAATATACAGGAAGAACCAAAAAATCCCAAATTATTTTTTTGCCTATATCTTCTTCATTCGCAGACATATTGAAAATCTGTCCACATTCTGCTACTGGCACTTGATGTGGACTTTCAAAATATATCCATGAATTTTTTATACATGGTGACATCTGACTTGGGCCACCCCCATCTTTGAATTTTTTAATACGGACCTGTATTTTTTATTGTAGTTTTTGGATCGTAGACGTTCACTTCATACTGAAAAATTAAATTAGTTTAAAAATGTTTCGAAATGGAAGGACTCCAATTTGAACATTTATTGCGCCAATAATTTTTCTGGGTACCTATAACATACCACATACGTACCTATACCTACCACATACTTCTTTTTTGTGACTATTTTCTTCTACATTCAATGATGCAGCAACTATAATGACAACTTCTTCGCCAGAACTGTTAGTGATAGACACGGACAGCGCCGTGATGTGCTGTGCCGTGTGAGCGACAAGCTTGAATAATACTTGTATTGTGACGACCCGTGTCTGCGTCTTATTTTAGGTGGGCAAAGGTAAAGACAGTGATATTCTATTGTGAGAATCAATTACATCTTATTTTAGCTGTATATTTGTGAGTGACCATCCATTGTTGATGTCCTGTATTGTCAATCCATTTCAGTCGGAATAAGTAAAAGTTACATATTATAAGAGTAGCAGTCTGATTTTCCCTGACGACCCACCAAAAATCCTGAGAGAAAAACCCGTTTTCTTACAATGTGGCGCCCAACGTGGGGCCTGAAGGGTTGAATAATACTTTTATTGTGGTGACCCGTGCCTGCATCTTATTTGATGTAACACTGTTTTTCAAACTATTTTGTAAAAATCTCACAGTTTATGGTTATTCAAATCTCTTTTCTATATTATCAATCCGAATATTCCGGTCCTTTTATTTGTAGACTTTTAATATTTCATCCTCTTTTTCTCCTTCTTCTGTGTTGGAAACTCTTAACAATTACATTTCATTTGGGAATTCTGTAGGGATAACTGTCACATCCAGAGTCTTTTAAAGGCTCATCTCTTGAACAAACACCGATTCATTTCATGATTTCCAATACCTGATATCAATTTAGTTCAACGTAATCCGCCACTCATGGACACGAATCCCTCTCAAAAACTTTTTTTGAATTGCCCTGTTCATGTTTGCATCTCCGTAAAAAATAAATATGTAACCATTATTTGAACCTGTTTCTTTGACATCTCCGCAAAATCCTGCTAAAATTTCCCGAGTGATGTTTGAAGTAGAGTGAATTTTTATTGGTTTCGACATCCCCCAGTCGTGAATGAAGAATTATTGGGACTACGTTGCCCAAAAACAACTCATAAAAAAGCAATCTGAAGTTTCATCGCTCGCGAGGCAGGATGATTATGGCGCGTTACATTTTATGGCTACTCTTTCCAGAATTCTCGTGAATAGCCAATGTGCTTTCCCCTACCTTAGTTGCTAATAAACATTCTATCGGATGAGAGCTCAATGAGATAAATCGTAATCGATTCAAAATTAACTATTTCCTCGTTAATCTGTTCTCTTTGTTCTCACATCAGTTGGGAAAGCATTTTCCAAACGACTTAAGATCCGTTCAAAATAAATGAACGTAATTACCACAGATGAAACATAAATCCGCTGTTTTCCCAGGGCACATAACTCTCATACCTGATGATCACTTCTTGAAGAGTGGTCTATGGACCTGAAAACATGTCAATGGAAACCAATAGATAAATATTGTCTGATCTATAGGATAGAAGTTTTAGGAAACAACGTTGTACTGATTCAACTTTCTCACTATACAACTGATGAGAAGGATCCAGACTATGGATGCATATTCTAATTTTGATCTGACGAAAGCATAGTGTCCATACATTCTGTTTGCAGCAGACAGAATGGCTTTAATATGTGGTACGAAGGAAAGTTTTGTGTCGAACTTAACACCTAGATCGGTGAATGTGAGAGGCCGTTGAAGTGGAATATCGTTCATGAAACATTGATATGAAAATGGACTTTTTTTTAGTGTGTACGTCATTATAATCCATTTACTCGCGTTCAAAGGAAGATTATTGCGAAAACACCATTGCTCAACACGTTTCAGATTGAGGGAGAGTTGAAGACAGTCCTCGATGCCATTGATCTCACAATATAATTTCAGGTCATCCGCGTATATCAAACAGTTGATGTCAATGACCTCAACTATGTCGTTTATGAATGCGTTAAAGAGAAGTGGACCTAGGTTGCTCCCTTGTGGAACACCCGAGGTAGCTGCATATTCCACGGACTTGAAGCCATTGAATATAACATACTGACGCCTGTCAGTGAAGTATGATATAAAAAGTTGGATCAGGGTCAGAGAATGGTGGTAAATATGGCGAATAGTGGCATGATTATAGACCAAATCCGGCAAGAAGTGAGATGGGACAGGGTTTCAGCAATTCAAAAGGTTCAAACGTCAATGTGCAACCTCCTTCCGGAATGTTAAAAGAATTATTTAGGACGAAACCGGGGTTTTCAAC